AGGAGTGGGACATCAATTACAGTTTTGCACAGGCTTGGGCAAACTGGGTTTGCGCCAAGCCACTGCACATCGATACTGCCAGGTATAAAAAAGCATGTAACAGTGCTGATCCTTGGTGGTTGGTCCAGCACTGTCACATGAGACGCTTCTGGTGGCTGAATGGAGTGGGGTGCAGAATAAGCTGCTGGGGAGGTTGCATGGACATTGCACGGGTTTGCTTTAAAAGATTTTAAACTTTGTTTTATATTTCCCTCACTGTACTGCTAAGTGTTGAGGTAAAGTCTCTTTGCAGATGACAAAAATGGCATTCCTCGTGTTGTAGGTACATGTAACACAGGGGTTGGGAATGCCCCTACCGCAACTGAACCTGTCACTCTGCCGTGCTTGATCCTTTTCTGGGTGACAGGACAAAAGAGCTATTCTCTAAATATGCTTTTCATTAACATAGCAAACTACTGAAAGGAATAATGTGCTCCATGCATCAAGTTTTTCAGCACGTGACCTGCCAAGAGTCTGTCATATGTTCACATTAAAATACATTAAAAAGTTAATTAAAAATTACATATGGTGTATGAAGCTCTCCGACATCTTTCCGCATAACATAGATATTCAGAATGTGTTCATTCTCAACATTTCTATCTCATCTCCCTCTGGATATTTTTACTCTTTCTATTTTCAGTAGTCCTAATCTTGGTGATAACATCAGCACACACGTGTATGAATCCCACTCCAATTCTGACAGTCAGTGACAGACACCTCCATTCAGCAGAACTCAGCAAGAAATCTTCCTTAATTAATGAAGGTAATTATGTTTTTTTACCAGGCGGCTATGATTAATTCCCCAAGGTTTGCTGTGCAGCGAACAGCGTTCTAAGCATGTTTAAATCAATATAAACCCTTTTCAATGTGTGATCGTGTAAAAAGCATTACCAATGCAGAAAGCTCTATTGCAGAAAGTAATGGTCCGATTAATACCTGTGGTCTTTTCAAAGGTGAATGGAAGTTTATGCATTGTTCCTTGTCAGTGATCTGTAAATGAAAGTGTTAAAGCTGGCCTGCCATGTAAAATGAAGATTGCCTGCAAATGATTTAGCATTCTGTTTAGGCTTTTCTTCTTTTTTTTTCATATCTCTATAGTTTGAACTTGATGGACTTGTGTCTTTTTTCAACCGGACTAACTATGTAACTATCAGAGAATACTTGTGAATGTCAATACCTAAATGTAGAATCACCATATGGAATAGACTACTGAGCAGTACATCGTGGCTACTGTGTGTTGAATTGTGGCAATGTGTAACCGTATAGTTTTTTTTAGTGCAAAGATACATAGGTGATTTTTAGGGATGCAGTGAAATTTCGGCCGCTGAAACATTTCGACAAAAAATGGCACTTTTGGCAAATTGCTGAAAGTACCATGATGCCTGAAAATGCGGCCGAAAATACAGTGTATCCCTAGGTTCTGTCCTCCCCGCTGGGTGCCAGTCTGTGTGCCTTCTGATGCAGTGGCCGGCGTCCAGCGGGGAGGAGAGCAGCTTTCAGGAGGCAGAGCGGTGCGGGGTGTAACAGCTGTTATCGTTACAGGAGGCGGAGCTCTCTTCCTGCACCTCCCGGCTCCACATCCTGTGCCAGGATGGAGAGAGCGCTGTGATCTGTCACCGGAGGCAGAGCTCTCCTCCCCACTGCTCGCTCGGCCCCCTGTGACAGCGACCCAGGATGGAAATCGTTATACAAACACTCACCGATCAGCTGATCGTTGAGTGTTTGTAAATAACTGGATATAGTGTGCTTACTATGTCCCAGTTATGAATGAACGGGAAGTGATCTACATCACTTCCTGTTCATTAAAGATTGTGGACATAGTAATTTACACTATATCCACAACAGATTCCTCCATCCAGAGCTTACAGTGTGGATGAACAAATCCCTCTGTGCTCATTGTATTCTGACAGAGGCTGGCTACAATTGGCTGCAAGCACTGTTCAGCTGATTATTTTCCAGCATCTCCCTTCAGCAAAATTAGATCTAGTGATTGGCTTCTGTCAAAGGGATAGGGCCACTCATGGATTGAATTTCGGCCAATTTCTGCGGATTCAGCCAAAATTCACTCTGTGTATACCTGCATTACTCAGTACTCAAGGAATCTTTTGTCATGTATTACATGTTTATTTGTAGAGCAAAGTCTGTACATATAT